GGAAGACAAAACATAAACAATAAATACAGTACATTATATTCTGACAGAAAATGATAAGTGCTAGGAAAAAGAAACGCAGCAGGATAAGGGAGAAGGAGTGATGCATTTTGTTGATGCACTTTGTTGAGGATTGACTCAACAAAGAAGTGGGGCAGTCAGCAGCTAGATGAGGGGTGGGGAGCTGAATTATAAGAAAGAGCTGGAGCAGAAGCCCTAAGATGAAATCATGTCTGGAGTCTTTGGAAAACAGCAAGAAACTAGTGTGGTTGGAGCAAGATGAGAGGAGTAGGAGAGTTGCTCAGAGAGTAAAAGAGAACATTGATTTATTTTATTTTATTTTATTTTATTTTGCTCTTATTAAGATGGGCAACTAGCCGGACGCAGTTGCTCATGCCTGTAGTCCTAGTACTTTGGGAGGCTGAGGTGAAAGGATTGCCTGAGCCCAGGTTTCGAGACCAACCTGGGTAATTTGGGAGACCTCGTCTCTACAATAAATCAAAAAATTAGCTAGGCGTGGTGGCATGCGCCTGTAATTCCAGCTACTGGAAGGCTGAGGCAGAAGGATCACCTGAGCCCAGCAGGTTGAGGCTGTGGTGGCCACCACAGTCCAGCCTGGGTGACAGTGAGACTGACTCATTAAAAAAAAAAAAAAAAAAAAGATGGGCAACTATTGTAGGGTTTTGAGCAAAGGAGTAAAATGATCTATCTTGTTTTAAGGGTATTACGCTGGCTACTGTGTAGGACTGTGGAGTGGCAATAGTTACAGCAGAGAGACCAGTTAGGACACAATTATATAATCCAATCATAGCAGGTACTCAATAAATATTCCTTGGTCAAGAGACGCTAGACAATCCTCTCGCTCTAAAATGTATTTTGTGGACAGTAAATAAAACTTTAATGAGATCTCTGGGTGATGTTCTTTGTGTCATTCTTGGAGCTCTTCTGTAAGTATGAAATTGCTTCAAAAGTAAAATTAATTTTTAAAAGTTTGTTGCTGCCAGATGCGGCAATTCACAACTGTTAATTTCAGCACTTTGGGTGGTGGAGGTGAGAAGATTGCTTGAGCCCATGAATTTGAGACCAGCCCGGGCAACTTGGTGAGACCTCGTCTCTCAAAAAAAAAAAAAAGAAAGAAAGAAAAAGTTTGTTGCAAATGAGGCTGTCATGGTGACTAACACTTGTAATCCCAGCACTTTGGGAGGCCAAGGCAGGAGGATTGCTTGAGCCCAGGAGTTGGAGATTAGCATAGACAAACATAGTGAGACCTAGTCTCTACAAAAAATTAGTGGGGCATGACAGCACGTGCTTGTAGTCCCAAGAACTTGGAATGCTGAGGTGAGCGATCGCCTGAGCCCAGGAGGAGGCTGTGGTGGCCATGATCATGCCACTGCACTGCATTCTAGCCTGAGCAACAGAGTGAGACCCCGACTCAAAAAGAAAGGAAAAGAAAAAGTAAAAGGAACTGGGCACAGTTGCTCACGCTTGTAATCCTAGCACTTTGGGAGGCAGAGGCGAGAAGATTGTCTGAGCCTAAGGATCTGAGACAAGCCTGGACAACTTGGCCAGACCACTTTTCTATGAGAAATAAAAACAAATTAAGCCAGGCGCATGGCTCACGTCTGTAATCCCAGCACTTTAGGAGGCGGAGGCAAGAGAATTGCCTGAGCCCATGGTTTAAGACCAGCCTCAGGCTGGGTGCGGTGGCCCAGCCTTTAATCCCAGCACTTTGGGAGACCGAGGCAAGAGGATTGCCTGAGCCCAGGAGTTTGAGACCTGTCTGAGTAAATCACAAAAACTAATTGGGCATGGTGGTGCATGCCTGTAGTTCCAGCTTGGAAGACTGAGGCAGAAGGTTTACCTGACCCCAGCAGGTTGAGGTTGCATGGCTGGGAGCATGCCACTACACTCCAGCCTGTGCAACAGAGTGAGACTCCAACTCAAAAAAAAAAAAAAAAAAAAAGACCAGTTGGTCAACGTGACAAGACCTCATCTCAACAATAAATTTTTTTAAAAAAATTAGCTGGGAGTGGTGGCGCACCTGTAGTTCCAGCTACTTGGAAGGCTAAGGCAAAAGGATTGCCTGAGCCCAGCAGGTCGAGGCTGCGGTGGCCATGAGCATGCCACTGCACTCCAGCCTAGATGGCAGAGTGAGACTCCAACTCAAAAAAAAAAAAAATTCCAAATAGGAAAGGATGCTATTTACTTGGCTTTCTTTTCATTACAATCCTCTTTGGCTAGCTAACAATTCACTTTTCATCTCTGGGCCTCAATAATCATGAATAAATTCTATCAAGATACTTCCCAGAAGTAGGAAAACAAATAGAGAGATGGATGCAAACTTTAAAAATTAATGAATGCACACACACAAAAAAATAGTGCTTCAAAAGAAGACATCACCAGCATTTTTTGCTTCCCCTGTTGATGAGTCAGTAAATAGATTGGTGATATGATGTCTCAGTAAAAATAGATGCATAGCCAGGCTCGGTGGCTCAGCCTGTAATCCCGCGCCTTTGGGAGGCTGAGGTGAATGGACTGCCTGAGCACACGGGTTCGAGACACGCCTGGGCAGGTGAGACCTCATCTCTACAATAAATCAAAAAAATTAGCCGGGCGTGGTAGCGTGTGCCTGTAGTTTCAGCTACTTGGAAGGCTAAGGATGACGGATCACTGGAGCCCAGCAGGTCGAGGCTGCGGTGGCCGGGAGCGGCCACTGCACTCCAGTCTGGGCAACAGTGAGACTCCAACTAAAAAAAAAAAAAATAGGTGGCAGTCCTCACTTTACCACACTGTATGACAGCAAGAAGCTTATCCTACAGACCCACATTACTGAGTGAACATCATTTTTCACAACCACAGTAGAGAGAAAGAAGGAAAGCATCCTTCACAGTGTTGGGCAGGCTTTTGGTTGAGGTGATAGAGCAGTTGGTACACACTGATAGTGTACAGAGCTTGATGACAGGAATGTGTTCTTAGTCTTTCTTACAAGCAAGAGATCTGAGTTCTTGGTTCTTCCATTTATGTGGATAAGTCATTTTAATTTCTCTGGGTCTTGATTTCCATTTTAGAAAATAGATCTCAAACATTCCTTTCAGCATTGTTTTTTTGTTTTGTTTTGTTTTTCGTTTTTTTTTTTTTTTGAGTCGGAGTCTCACTCTGTCGCCCAGACTGTAGTGCAGTGGCCGCTCCTGGTCACCACAGCCTTGACCTGCTGGGCTCCGGCGATCCTTCTGCCTCAGCCTTCCAAGTAGCTGGAACTACAGGTGCATGCTGCCACGCCCGGCTCATTTTTAAATTTTTATTGTAGAGATGAGGTCTCACCAAGTTGCCCAGGGGGGTCTCGAACCCGCGGGCTCAGGCAATCCACTCACCTCAGCCTCCCAAAGGCGCAGGATTACAGGCTGAGCCACCGAGCCCGGCCTTTTTCAGCACTCTTAAATGTGATTTCTCATCCAAAAGCATAGGTCTCACAATGAAAACTGGTTGCTATTTTGCCCAAAAAACCTCTTCCCATTTTTCTTGATGTACCACTCCAGCATGGCACCTTGAAATAGATCTAGCCTGGCCGGGCTCGGTGGCTCAGCCTGTAATCCCAGCACTGTGAGAGGCCAAGGCGAGTGGATTGCCTGAGCCCGTGGGTTCAAGACCAGTTGGGGCAACTTGGCAAGACCATGTCTCTAAAATAATTTTTTTTTTTTTTTGTAATTAGCCTGACATGATAGCACATGCGTGTAGTTCCAACTCCTTGGAAGGCTGAGGCAGAAAGATTGCCGGAGCTCAGCGGGTCAACACTAGGGGAGCCGTGAGTGTGCCACAATACTCTAGCCTGGTGATGGAATGAGACTCCAACTCAAAAAAAAAAAAAAAAAAAGAGAAAGAAATAGACCTAGCCAAAAGACGCAGAGGACACTAGTGCATTCAGCAGCTCTGAACAGAAATCTCCATCTAGATGTACATGGACATATGGCACAGTCAACCTGGCCATGGTTTTCTCTCCTGAAGGAGAACAGAATGAATGAAGACCCCTAAACTCCTCTTTGGCAGGCAGTTAATGGGAATTTTTCCATTAATATGTGAACTCAAAAAGACTCTACATGTTTGAAATAGGATATTTGAAGCCGGGCTCGGTGGCTCAGCCTGTAATCCCGTGCCTTTGGGAGGCTGAGGTGAGTGGATTGCCTGAGCCTCCGGGTTTGAGACCCGCCTGGGCAACCTGGCGAGACCTCATCTCTACAATAAATCAAAAACTAGCCGGGCGTGGTAGCACATGCCTGTAGTTC